TCCCATTTTTTCATATTTTTCCCATGATTATCCTCTCTCCAGCGCATTTGGCCTTCAAGCATTGGGCTTTTTTTTACTCTGAATCACCCCCTGATTTCTAACAGCAGCAAGCCTATTTCCATTTTTTGTTTATTTTATTTATCTTATTCAATAAAAACCATATTTGGGCCTAAACAAAATGATTATCTCACCCCTATTTTACTTTTAAACACCAGGCCCAAGTTTTATTTTCTTTTACATTTTATATATATATTTTCTTTATTTATTTTTTTAAATAAAAATACAAAATATATTTTCTTAAAATAATTAAATTAAAACTTTTTTAATTTTTATTTTATTTTTCACCCTATTTATTTTTATAAATAAAAATACCAAAAATATTTCCTTAACTAATTAATCTTTCTTTTTAGAATTAAAGATAAATATACTTAGGTTTTATTTAATTTTCTTTTTGATCAAGTTAGATTTTAGGTTTTGTTAGATAAATTAATTAGTTTCTCTTGCAAAATCCATTAGTTTAATTAAGTTAATTAAAACTCCTTCTATCAAAAAACCCATAAAAACATTTTTCTTTTATACTATCTTTATATTCTTGTACATTTTATTATTATTATGCATTATTCAATTGGCTTGTAATAGTAATTAGGACTTTATTGCTTTATATTCCCCATTTGTAAATTTGTATCCCCATCCCCAAAAATATTGTAATAGCATATGGTATTTAATTTCCGCAATTTATCGCTCTCCATATTATTGATAGTAAATTAGGGTTTGTATGGAAATACTCAAAACCAAACAATAGACAACCTTAATTCAGGACAAATTAAATGAAAACAACACACTTTGCACACATGCACCTCTAGGGTTAACCCACACTTGTTGCCTTAGATTGAAACAATCATGTCCCTCGAATCCGCACTTGTTCCTAATAAATCTCCTTAACCTGCAAAGAATAATGATATATATCCAAAAAGATCTCTAAAAAACAAATCAAATTTGTTAAGAGACTAATCAACAACGCCTGCTGCATAACAGACCAAGATGTCAAGACATCTAGCTCAACATCTGTCTGATACACATGACAACAGAACCTATTATGACAGTTGTTTAAGATCTTGTGACATCTTCCTCAACATCAGCCCATAACCATGTTTCAGAAAAATTTATGCCAAACCTAAAACCATGTATTTGACAATATTCCCTTTTAGCAATTTTGCTAAAACAACCAATGCACAATAACCCGGGTGATAACGAGAAATCGTATTGTGTATTTAAGCTTAATGTGCACATAAATTGTCCGTATGTTATTTCATTCCATTGCATTTTATTTTGTTTTCTTTGGTTTTGCAGATGTCATTCGGTTTCTCTGAAGATTCGCAACCAAGCCGAAATCGAGATGAAAGAGTAGCAAAAAGCTTCAATTCTGTCGGTTTTGCTGATATGGCATTCACTGTGGAGCCTTGGCGTTTGCTATCACCCTGCATGCCACATCATTTAATGATCAAGGCAATGGCGTTCGCCATTGCCTCTCAAAAGGAAGTTTCGTGACACTTCATTTTTGAAGCAGTTTTTGGCATGTGTTTTTCCCTCCAAGAAGCAGTTGCGGTTCCAAGCAGTTGGGAGGCCTTGTCCTATATATATATATATATATATATATATATATATATATATATATATATATATATATATATATATATATATATATATATATATATATATATATATATATATATATATATATATATATATATATATATATATATATATATATATATATAACATCTTCGAGATCATTTCGAGAGTCAGAGAATCGCATGGAAGCTCTGCCCAAATTATTTTAGACTTAAGCAAAAGAAAACACTGCCTTTTTCTTGTAATTGTAATGCACTTGGAATTTCTTCATCAATCTTTCCGCCATCTTTGTTTCTAATCAAGTAATATTTTTTTGTAATCTTATTATGTGTTATTTTATATACTTTGCATGCGTAGAATTATAGTGAATTGCATTGATATGTTAAATTCATGCATACTATGCTTTAACATGCTAATTTTAGGAATGAATTTGTTAGGCTAAATATGTTAGGGACCGACATATGAGGACTGTTGTTATCGACAAGACTCAGTAGAAAACAATAGGTGCAAAAAATATGATTTAAATTCTGTTTTGGTTCTAATTTCTATTCGTATGTTTAATTGTTTCAACACGAGACTGAGGAACAAACTAAGGTTCAAACTGATAGCACAAGAGTGTGAGGAATGGACCAGATAATGGAAATTTGGCATCGATCCTAAAAATATCAAGAGAGCTTCAGGCATCATTTAGAACTTAATCAACTTCCAAAATATGTTTCTTAATTAACCGACGAGCGAGAGAAAAATCATGTGGTTAAGAAGTGTGATTCTTGTCAATAATGCGAGAGGGTGGGACAGAGTCTTTAAGTTGAAATTTTATTCAAAACTAGGATTTAATAGTATCTAGCACCCGTATTCTACTAGTCCCTTAGGAACACGAAATCTGTACTCCAGGCTCGTTTTGTCATTGTTTTCAAACCTTTGCTATTATTACCTTTATTCTGATCCTTATTATTTTTATCCTTTAGCCTTAGCTGTTGCTTGCATCATAGATAACATTAGTTTTATTATTAGTCTCTATGGGTATGATATATTTTAAAACTACGCGATAGACTGTATACTTGCAGTTATTATCCGACAGACACGTCAGTGTGCGATCAAGTTTTTGGCACCATTATGATTTAATTATTGCGCAGTATAAACTAAGGCAACTATTTTCCTTTTTAACTCACCAATTGTATGCCAATCACTCGTTCACAAAGCGAAGAGTTAAACATCCAATTGATGAAATCGAGCATTTTGCTAACTTAAGACGTTGAATTAATTAATTTCATATCAGATATAATCTTTCAGATCCTATTATCCCAGTTCCAGAACTAGGAAGAATCATGGCCGAAGGACCGAAAAATCGTCCTTTGAAGTATTATTTTGTTCCATTGCATGAAGAACTACACAACATCATTGTTGCGCCTGCTAGCAACAAAAAAGATTTCAAGCTAAAACCTTCATTGTTATCAGCCATTCAACAAAACCAATTTTCAGGAAGTCCTACAGATGATCCAAACTTGCACTTTTCAATATTTATACAATACACAGACACAGTAAAAGCGAATGGTGTCATCAAGAAGCGATAAGACTATGTATATTCCCATTTTAATTAAGAGATAGAGCTAGAGCTTGAATCCAATCTCTACCATTAAATTATGTCACCACATGGGACGTGTAGCGATAAAAAATGTAGCGGGGTAAATCGGAGATCGAACTATTAATTAATTCGTCTCACAAAAGCAAGAGTCGCCACCACACTTTATTATTTCCAAGGGAAAAGGGAAAAGAGCGAAATAAAACCCTAAAATATGCAATGTAAAATAATACTTTAAAAGTAATGAAAATACAAGGCGTTTTTGAAAAGAGGTCTAGAGCTCGGGGGTTGGTTATACAATGGGAAGATATTAGCACCCAATGTATCTATAGTATTCTATAGGAACCTTTTGAAATATCTGTTTTTTGGTTAAAATTGTTTGTTTGGTTAAAATGGTTTGTTTGGTCAAAATGGGTGTGGACGAGATTTTAAAAATACAACGACGTAATATCGAGGTTTTGATTTAAAAGAGGGTAAGTTTAAAATTTGATTTTTTGGAGATTTAACTTAAGTTTAACAAAAAGTAAAATGTATGAAAGGGTCTCGCACAATCGTATCAGATGCTCAATGACATGAAGTCAATAAATTTAATTCTTTCCCTTGGAATAAATCGAGCGAACAAAATGGACATCAAAATATAAGCATTCGAAAATTCACAGGAAAATAAATCTAACTAAACAGATTAATAACCAAAAGACACTAAAAAATTAAAATGACAGAGATATTTAAATACAAATAATAGATAATGTAACTAATTATCTAAAAAAAAAAAGTTATTTAAACTAAATTAAAATTCTAAGATTATTTACTAAGATAATTCTACTAACTACAAATTCTAAGGTTATAAAAATAATTCTAAAATTACTAGGTTAAATCTAAATTAAATTAAAATTTTAAATTTAGTAAATTAAATCTAAATTAAACTAAAATTTTAAGGTTACTAAATTAAATCTAAAACAAATAAAAACTCCAAAGTTACTAAACTAAATCTAAATCAAATAAAATTCTAAAACTACTAAACTAAATCTAAATCAAATACAAATTCTAAAGTTATTAAACTAAATCTAAATCAAATAAAATTCTAAAGTTATTAAACTAAATCTAAATCAAATAAAATTCTAAATCAAATAAAATTCTAAATCAAATAAAATTCTAAACTAAATCTAAATTAAATTAAAACTCTAAAGTTTACTAACTAAATTAAAGTTAAAGTTACTACAATAGTTCTAAATTTAAACTAATTATTTCTAATTAAAAAAAAATATTTGTAATTTTATATGATGAAACTAATCAACCTAATATTAAATCTAATCAATTATATATTTTTTAAAGTTACTAAATTAAAATTCTTAAATTATTAAATTGAACCTAAACTAAATCAAAATTCTAAATTTGTCCAAATATTTCTAAACTAACTAAAAAAAAAAGTCCTAGTAGGGGTTGAAACTCGTATCTCTTTGGTTATTAGTAATGTGTTTTGCCAACTGAATTAAGCTAATTATCTGTTATTACTACATTTTAATTAAAATATAAGGAATATTGATTGTGGGATTGGGCCAAAAGGCCCAAAGGGTTGACCCGGTTTGGAGGAAAGAAATAAGTAAGATTTGAGAACCCTAGAGTACTAAGAGAAGGACGCTGCGGCTAGTTGTTGGGAAGTGGGATAGTATATTATTATTATTACATTACATATACCTTTCTCCTCCGCATTCTACAAACACATTCATTATTAATCATAAATTAAAAATAAAAAAAACATCTCTCTCACACATCATCAAGATGCAATTCACAAGGCAGATGAAAAATCCGCCGAATGAATGATGTAGGTGAGCACCAGCGCCAACAACATCAACAAATAAGCTATTCCTTGATCAACCGATGAACCGTCGCTGGTAGGAGCAGGTGCAGGGGAAGGAGATTGAGCGTGAACAGCGGAGGGGAAGGAAAGAGCGAAAATGAGAGTGGCGACGATAGCCACAATTCCGAATCCGAACGAATGTGTAGAGGAAACCATATCTGAAAATGTGAATATAGTAATGTGTTTGATAGATAGGTTATAGATCTGTGTACTTTTTGTGTTTCTCTGCAGCGTCTCTGTTGAAAACGAACGAGGCGCGCAGAGAGAGAAATGATGAGGGAGAGAGAGAGAGGGGTCTTCCGTCGTTGGAGAATTTGATGCAGGAGATGACAAGATTGTGGGCTGTTAGGGTTTTGAGGTATGAATGTATTGAATTATGAATTCGGTTTCAACAAGAACTTTTGAGCAGTTACCGTTCTGAAATTAATGAGGATATTTGTGGCTTTTTTTCAGGGTTTTGCAGAAAGAAAGTTTGGAACAGAGGTTCTTGTGTGAGTTCCCTCTCTTATTTCCTATGATGTTTCCCCCTACAAACTAAACGATTTCTCAATTTTCATCTCAAAATCACTACTCTTTATTTTCTATCATTTGAAAACAGCAACAATGATTTTTATTTTTCAGGTTCACTTGGTTTGATATCACAACAGTTTCATAGTTTCACAGTTACAACAACAACAAGACAAGTAATAATTATAGCAACAGTCAACAACAACACATTTGAGAAATAGACAAAAACAACATGGCAAGTTAGTAAATAGAGTGATACATAAAGAGGAAAGACTCACATGATTGGAGCTAGTCCAACGAGTTCTCGTTTCTGGAAAACTTCGACAGTTAAACTAAAATTTCCCCCTTTTCCTTCTGAGATCTACATAAACATGTTGTTGTTGGTGTGTTGTTATGTTTTTGTAGATAAATACGCAAACTGCCTGCAAAATTTATGTTGTGACGTGCTTCTGAGTTATTGCAAGGTTTAATGGAGCATTGTGGAGGGTTGATCTTGGCACTTAGAGTTTGGTATGAAGATTGATGAGTGGTATAGAAGAAGATGTCTGGCTGTAATGAAAATGGTGAGTGTTTTTTTGAGTTTTGGAGAAGATTGAACAAAAATTCATGCAGAATATCCTCTCCGATTTTTCTATCTGTTTTCTTTATCTGATGCTGAGCTCCCTCCTTTATAATGGGACAATCTGGTTTTGGGGGGGAACAAGTTTGGTTTTTTGAACAAATATACTATTACGCTTTTTCACTTTATTGATGTAGTTTTTGATTACCTATTTTAGTGCAATCCTTGGACTGGTTTGGACTGATATGATGCAGCTTTTTGCAGGTTGTGATATAGCATTTTGGACTGTTTGAATTGTTTGTAGCAGCAAGACAATAGCAGTGTGCAAATCAGTTTTGGACTTCAACATTTTCAGCTTTGTTTTGGACTATTTTTTGGCATGTTTTATGCAGACTTGGTAGACTATGGGCAACAACAAAATTATAGCAGGCTTAGGGATATGTACTGGTTTTGCAAGTTAAAAAAAAAAAGGTTTTGGGACCACAACTTATTGGACATAAAACAATAAAACAAAGATAATAGTAATAATAAAGATAAAGGCAATTTGTTAGTAATATAAAACAAAATAATAATAATAATAATAATAATAATAAAAATAAGATGCAAACAAAATTAATTTTATTTTAATTTTAATATTAATTCAATTTTAAAATTGAATTAAAATTAGAATCAAAATCAAAATCAATATTGGATTAGAAGAAGCTAAAACTATAATGACCAAAAAGAATAAAAAAATGTAAAATAAAAGAAAAAGATATTAACTATATTTTGAAATTTTTTGATTAAAATCTATACTAAAATAAAAATCTAAATGAAACCAATAAAACTATAATAATTTTTTATATATTTTTTTTAATTAAGAATTGTGAATTTAAAATATTATAATGCTAATTATAAATAGTTTTGTGATTTTTTCTAATAATGCGATAGTAAAAAGTGACATGAACTAAAATACACATTTTTTTAGATTTTTTTCAAATAAGAAAAAAATGATAAATAAAAGACGAAAAAATATGCGCTATGTATGATTTGGTAAAAGTTGGACAAGACATGATCAAATTTCATTAAATTCATAAAGCGACTTCTAACGTTTTCATTCTTTCGTGGCATTTCAAAAAATAATCATCTCTTGACTTCTAAAGGAAAGTTGTAGTTGTTGTCAAGGAGAATCATGTGTAAAAGAACCACTAAAAAAATGTCGAAATTCGAAGAAGTTATGAATTTTTGAAATCTGACTCGAGAAATGGCAAAAATAGGTCGAATCGCTTGTGAACGCTTGCTATGTAATAATGCAGATGGGAGGTGGTATCTTAGGTCAAAATTTGGGGTATGACAGCTGCCCCTATTTAAGTTTCTTCTATCCGGAGATATGAAGATTAAAATCTTCGTCTCGACGAGATTGAAGGTACTTAAATACATAATACGCAATTTTTGCCCTAAGATACCGCCATTATGTTTGTGATATGAATGTAGTATTTAAATTTACAGAGAATTATATTGTATGAGACAAGATAATGCTGGAGAAACCAAACACCAACAAAACACAAGAACATAGATTATACACTACTGGGGAAATGAGCCATCGACTTCAAATGATAGACTCTTGACGGCGAATAAAAATTTGAGAGAATACGACCTCTGACCCTAACAAAGAAGGCATCTTGCATAGGCCACAAAAACAGATTATCGACCTAAAATAACGGCGAGTTCACATCTCAAGGTCAACGATAGACAAAAGATGTACCAAATTTGCTGATAATGGATTACCGACTTCTGAAGGTAAAGATTCATAACAAACTTCTCTGCGAGATTTCCGGAGAGATACCAATTAATGCTGAAATAATAATATGGTTGTAGATACACAAGCTGCTCAAATAAAGAAGCTGCCACTTGCTGTCTTCCAAAAATACTATGACATACAAGCTGCTCAAATAAAGAAGCTGCCACTTGCTGTCTTCCAAAAATACTATGACATACAAGTTGCTCAAATAAAGAAGCTGCCACTTGCTGTCTTCCAAAAATACTATGACATACAAGCTGCTCAAATAAAGAAGCTGCCACTTGCTGTCTTCCAAGGATGCCAATAACATACAAGCTGCTCAAATAAAGAAGCCGCCACTTGCTGTATTCCAGAAAAAATCAATAATGCGCAAGTTGCTCATGAAGAGACCGCCGCTTGTCGTTTTCCAAAAATAATAATAACGCACAAGTTGCTCATGAAGAGACCGTCGCTTGTCGTTTTCCAAAAATAATAATAACGCGCAAGTTGCTCATGAAGAGACCGCCGCTTGTCGTTTTCCAAAAATAATAATAACGCACAAGTTTCTCATGAAGAGACCGCCGCTTGTCATTTTCCAAAAATATTTCAGAAGAAAGTTGCGATAACACTGCCAGAGAATAAAATTCTTTTTCAAAGGGAATCATGAATAGATCCTTCCTGAGGAGGTCAAATACTTAAATGCGCAAAATAAATGCACCATTCATCTAGGTTGTTTAGCTTGGAGAAAACCACGAGATAGCCTATGCAAGAGACAAAAAACTCCCTCCAGGAATAAACCAGAGAGAAGACAGTCAAACAAGACTCCACCCAATGAGAAAATAACTTAATTGGGTGGAGTCATCCTATCCAGAAATGGATAAGGAAGGCTAAATCAAAATTCATCTACGAGGATTAGCTCAATTGGGGAATTTAGAAAGGAAGCACATTTTCTGCCTAAGTTAACATTCTACTTGGAAAGAAACATATACGCTGTTTGAATAAACAAAGTATACAACCCAAAATCAACGACAAATGTGAATATGCATGCGTGATATAAGTGTAAATGAGTAAATGAATGTTATGCTGACAAAACAAACAGATGGAATATCTTGAAGACGATAAGATGTCACGAAATAATAGATACTCGGCCAATCTTAAAAAGACGGAAAATAACTGGAACTGGAACCACAAAGCAACGTCAGAGCGTATCACGCTACAAGGCTCAAGTCTTCTGAGGAGAAAAGTATTCAAATCCAATCTTCTAATACCAATAGACCACTGGCATGATACAAAACGTACCACACCTCAGAAATCTGCTCAAATAAAGATAACTGAAACAAAGCTTAACTGGAAATGCTGGGGAGTCACCAAGCTTAGTACCACGAGAAACGCAAGTTTACACAACCAACACCTCATGACGATTTTGAAAGAAAACATGTTTCATGCAAGGATAAATTACTGTATTGTTTTGCATTTCATGGCTTGACCATCCTTGGAACAACTGTTAATATTCCTTTCAGTATTCAACGACACATTAAAAATAGGAATGCGTTAAATAGCTTTGTTTCAATTATTTCCGTAAAAGCTGAAATTTTGCCCACAAAAAAGATAAATGCTCAAAATTTCATTAATAGGATGGTAGTTCGCTAACAATGCGACTCCCATGGTTTAAAAATTTTTTTTTTGGGAAATAGTACATGAGATAAAAAGGTTACACAAAAACAATGATCACTATTCTCCCTAACCACTTCGAATTCCGAAATGTGCTCAAATGCCAAGACTGGTCTGACCAAAAGCTTACCTAAGCCGCCCTTTCGGGTTTTCAACTTAGCAAACTGTCAACTCAAACCTAAGCGAAATATTTCTTGACTGCATCGGCGTTCATGGAGCGCGGGAGCTCTTCACCGTCCATATTTGTGAGAATCATGGCACCTCCAGAGAAAACTTTCTTAACGACATACGGTCCTTCATAATTTGGAGCCCACTTGCCCCTAGAATCAGGTTGGAAAGATAATATCTTTTTGAGCACAAGGTCACCTTCTCTGAACTCGCGTGGTCGAACCTTCTTATCAAAAGCCTTCTTCATTCTCTGCTGATATAATTGACCGTGACACAATGCTGTCAATCTCTTTTCTTCAATTAAATTCAACTGATCATATCTACTTTGACACCATTCAGTCTCAGAAAGTTTAGCTTCCATCAACACTCTCATAGACGGAATCTCAACCTCCACGGGGAGTACTGCTTCCATACCATAAACTAGGGAAAATGGGGTTGCGCCTGTTGAAGTTCGAACTAAAGTACGGTATCCATGCAGAGCAAACAGAAGCA